AGACAGGTCAGGGTGAAGAAGTGACCACAAAACGGAAAAGTTATGACAAATCAGACTATAAGGCAAAAAATGATGTTTTTCTGCTTCCCTGCTACGCTATGTCCAGATAAACAGGATCAGCTTTTTGGGATTCCCTTACCTGGATGATTGAGCATGCATCAAGGTCTTTATCTTTATGTGTGTGGTGGGGTTTTGTTTGTTTGTTTTGTTTTTTAAACTTGAACAAGCATGAACTGTCTCGGTTCTATGATTTGCAAATAGATCAACAGTCACTTGTAGTTGTCGTCAGTTGCAGCTCTAGGATCGTGTCTTTTAAGAAAATGGCACTTACCTCTCATTTACCTCTTGTTTCTGTTATCTTAAAGATAAATTATATGGCAATAATGGAGCCACTGCCACAGCCAAAGGTACCGCCCCCACCACCTCAGCCTACGGCACCTTTTACCCCGAAAGCACCACCATCACGTACTCGTCCCCACCCGTCTCCAGCTCCAACACCAGCACCACGAAGGAAGAAAGCTACCAGTCAATGCCGCCTCCTGCTGATCAGGAGAGTCCGTACAGCTACGGCTACGGAGATGAGAAGAGAAAGATGCTGACCCAAGGTGGAGACTACTCTATGTACAGCACTGCTTACCCCAGCTCTGTCACCGGGGGACAGAGTTATAATAATTATGGCAAGTTCCTTTTGTATTTCTTACAGTAACTTCCCTCTTTTCCTATTTCTTTATATTTAATCTTGATTTATACATATAAATGATCTGGGCTTATAAATGTTTCTTCACAGGCTGGGAAAACCAGTCGTCCTGGGGGAATCAGGGGTACAGCATGTACCAGGGATTTGGAGGACACACCCAGGGCTCATACTCTGGATACGGCGACATGAATTACTGATCATAACATCACTGGTGCTTTTTATTATGCTTACATGACTCCCTTTTTTCCTCATGTCTTGGCTGCTCCAAGCAATGCTATAAGGAAGGATAGGCCTGTTTCCCAGCTCTGAGCTCCTGCAGATGCCTCCTCATTTCCTCAAGGTGGGATTTAAGCAGTTCAGAGTTCCTCTGTGATGGCAGAGGGGAAGGGGAAAGAGTGCAAGGAAACATGTCAGCATAATGAAATATGCAGTCTTTCTCACCTTGATGATTAGGGATCATCCTGAGGCACCTCTCTTAAAAAGAAATAAAAAAGAAATGCTGGTGTTTTCTCTGAAACTGGAATTCTGCTGATCTTGTTTGATACTCTTAACCTCAGTTGTCAGTTCTTTTGACAAACCAGTAAGCCAGTTTTAAGTTACGTTTCTTTTATCTGTAGCCTTCATCACGTCAATGTTGACATGAGTGTTACGTTGAGTTGTTTTGTCTTTTTTTTAATGTAGTGTACTGGTTCTGTATCAGTATATTTTTTTTATGTAAAGCTGCTTGTTGTTTTAAACTGAAGTCCTTTCTGTCTCATAAAAACGCTCTAATCCTTGTACAAATAAAAGACTTATTTTGGAGCTGAGCTTCTGACCATCAGTTTCTTAATTACAGACATTGCAGAGATCTTGTTAGTATGATTGTTGGCATTTTAAGAGCTTCATCTTATTCACGCTCTGACATGTGACAGCTGTGTTCAGAGAAGCGTCACCATTGACATGATTGTGAACGTGAAGCTGTTCAAAGTTGGGAAACGTAACCTTCGTCTTTGATGAAACGCATGAAACGATGTTTTTCATATCAGTGTTATTGAGTTTGTTGCGCAAGGTGCTGCAAATGATTTGTGCATGCACAGCCAGACTGCTGTGAATGCAGCACAAGCATACAACACCCACGCTCTCCCTACCTGCGCTGCTATCAAAGCTGACAGGAATCCTCACTGACACATAATTAGAGGAGTGTAGTTGAAGTTATTTGAAAATTTAAAGCACATTTTGCAAGCTTGGTCCAATATTAGCACTCCCAGTGAAATTTGATAAAGATTAAAGGAGGGGACAAGTGGAAGCTCCAGAGATGAGGGTTTGCTGACAGTTGGCAAAAAACAAAAACTGAAGGACAGCAAATTATTAACAGTAAAACTCATCTTGTGTTTTTGTTTTAGCAAATGAATATCGCTCGAAAACAACTTTAGGGAATTGAGCTGTGTAACCACACTAAAAGGAGAACTGCATACTTTGTTTTTGCATTAGTATATTGTGTCAATACTAATGTGCTGTGACACCTCTAGGTGTGAGAGACAATTCCAGTAATGTCTTACGGCAGTTTTTCTTGATAGAGGCTTCACATACTTCAACCTTTTACCAGAACTTAGTTATTTACAGCACTGTGAAAAAGTCTTCAACCTCTTTTTTTTGTTGGATATTTGTGAGACTTACGTGTTTCAGATCAAGCAAATTCTAATATGAGATGAAGATAAGCCCAGTTTTCAGGTGATGATCGTCATTTATTAAGGGAAAGAAGGCCCAAACCAAAATGAATTAACTGGGATTAACCACATTTTTTGGAAAGCATTGTGAGTCAGTGTTTTCAGTTGTTATGCAAATGTAGTCTTTGTAAGGTTGGGAAAGATTCAGTCAACTGAAACTGAAGTCATTTGAATGGGTGATCAAACATTTCAACCAGTGAAAATGCAACGTCCAGACGAAAAGAATCAACTTTCTTTGGTTCATGTTTAATGCTGCAAGACTATATTCAGCAAGACCACCAATTTGACCCATTATTTTACTGAACTTAGTGTTTTACGTGTTATTTTGAAGTTATTCAAAAAGCAGGAAGCAAAAGATGGAAAGAAAACAAGCTAAACGGGAAAATCAGTGAATAATATTGAAGTGGAAAACATGTCTGGACACCAGCTATATTAAACACAATAGATCACGTGTGCCCTTATGACCCTCTAGTCAGTGTCTGAGCAATGATCATGCCTGTCCAGCGTGTCCCGGGGTTGGTCCTCCTACATCCTCTCCTCCAGGACTGCTGATAAAAGGCGAGGGGGGAACGACGATCACTCTGAGGGTGGAGAGTGTCCCAACAGATCCCATCAGCCGTGAGTGTTTTGTTTTTGACGACATTATCTCTGCATATTGACACCTATTCTTTACACATGAAAAGCTGTTTCCCCCCCTCATCAATCAGGCAGCACTTCACACTGTTGTTGTGGCGTCTCTGTTGAGGGTCTTTTTATCTGTTTAATTATGTAGACGTTTGACCTTTGCCTCACACACACGGTTTCTTTGATTGGTTTCTATTTACTCCAGCTGAGGTATGTCAGCTTTAGGCTGCAGCCAATCACAAGTCACCTTTAGGAGTAAAAAGAAAGTGAGGGAAACTGAGGGACTTGTATAGCGCAGTGGGAGGCAGAGAGAGAGCGAGCGAAGCTTAGAGTCACATGGTAGGTTGTGGTTTTGGTTGTTTCATTTTGCTTCTGCTTTGTTGCTTTTGCAGGTGCTGACTTTCATTTCTGTGGTGTCACATCTTGTGACTGAGCCGAGTTTAAATTTGCCGTTAACTTAAATTCCAATGCTTTGTTTGTCTTTGAAGATGGCAGTTACTATTTTATCCATCTTGATTGCTGCCATCCCCGTGGCCTACTGCTATCCAACTGCCTTCCAAAACGTGGAGGAAAGTCGCAGTGAGTATTACGCCACACTGACTTTCATAAGCTTACTTTCCAATCAGAAGTACTAATATTCTTTTCCTCTTACAGGCAACAGAACCTCCATTAAGTTTCTGGCAGTGGGCGACTGGGGTGGCGTGCCTTATCCCCCCTACATCACCTCTGTGCAGACAGCCACATCTCAAGAAATGAGCAAAATAGCAGACCAGATGGGAGCTGATTTTGTTCTTGCTCTGGGCGATAACTTCTACTACAAAGGTGTGAACACTGTGGATTCTCCTCGGTTTAAGGTGAGTAGAATAAATGTGGCGTGAAAAAACAACACTGTATTTTAAAACTGTGTGTTGAAAGCAGTAACTATGTTTTCCTTCTTCTTACCAGGAAACTTTTGAGTCCGTGTACACTGCAAAGTCCCTCCAAGTCCCTTGGTATGTGATCGCTGGCAATCACGACCACGCAGGGAATGTCAAAGCCCAGATCGACTACAGCAGCAGATCTAACAGATGGTAAGGGGCAGAATATAAAGTTCGGATATCTTAAAGTTTTAAGCTTTTAGGAACTACTCAGTTAAGCTTTGATGCCTCTTCATTACCTTTGATAGGAAATTCCCCTCGTACTACTATGAGCTGAACTTCCGCATTCCCAACACGGGGAAGACTCTGACCATCATCATGCTTGACACTGTGATGCTTTGCGGTAACTCTGACGACAATTCGGACAAGAAGCCAAGTGGACCCCTGAATGAATTGGATGCCAATCGCCAGCTGGCTTGGCTGCAGGAGAGACTGGCTCTGTCCAAGGCAGACTTCCTGTTGGTGGCAGGCCACTACCCTGTTTGGTCTGTGTCCGAGCACGGCCCCACAAAGTGTCTGGTGCAAAGCCTCCGTCCACTGCTCATCAAATACAACGCCACTGCTTACCTCTGCGGCCATGACCACAACCTGCAGGTTGGTTCAGGAAGAGTATGTTTAACATTTGATATAAATCTGCATAGCTACTCTTAGAGCTACAATGGATTTTCCTCTTCTTTCTCCCACAGTACCTCGAAGAGTCTAACATAGGCTATGTGGTGAGCGGTGCTGGAAACTTCCTGGATCCTGACACCCGCCACTGGAACCATGTTCCCAAAGGTTCTCTTAAGTTTTTCACCGGCAAGGCTTCAACACTGGGAGGATTCATCCATGCAGAAGTGACAAAGAACAAGATGACCGTGACTTTCTACCAGGCGAAAGGCACTTCTCTCTATCGCACAGTTCTCTCGCAAAGAAATCTTGAATAGACTGATGAGCAAGAACAGTTATAAATGGTGTAATCTGCAGTGTAAGTGTGAAATCAAATAATGAGTCTTGATCTCTTTTGTTTTAAAAAATCTTCGGCATTAACTTCAAAGCATTTTTAAAACAATCATCTGGTTTTAAATGTGACTTTATGCTACTGTAAAATAAATAGTGCCTTTGTTATCTGTCCTGAACTTTTGGAAATGTGGCTGTGCTTGAATTTCTTACTCTGCAAGTGCATTTGAATTTATGTCTTTCAAAACAAATGAGAAATTAGAGAAAGCATTGAATGATTTGGGGGCTTACACTGATTTCTGAAACCTGTCAAGTGTTATTCAATCCAAAGACTTAGGAAATGTACACGTTTTATTCTTCATAAGAAAGCATTACCAGCTCTGATATAACTGACTGTTAATATCAATGCATTGGTGAGGTATGCATCAAAAGAAAGGCACTTTTTTTTGCAAATAAAAGACATATTGTGACGAATTTAGAGTTGATTTATTCATCTGTTACATGTGTGCCAGAAACAGCACTTCATCACATCAGGAGATTTAATACTGATGAGGCTGCTATTGCTGAAGGACAGGAGAGGTCAAGACTTTCACAGGGAGAGCTCTTTTGTCTGTGACAGAGAACCACCTGGCCTGCCAGCAGAGGATCAGGCTCAACGACAGCAGATTGGCAGTGACTGTGATCTGGATAAATTCAGCCAGCCAATCACAGTTAACCTGGGAAGGACGCAGAGACTGACAACAGGCTGGTTTTTATTTTTTCTCCCTTCGTCTGCTGATATATATTAAAAAAATTCATAAACTAAAATCTGTTTCATATAAAAAAAATTCTGAGAATCGTTGATTTTTATTCTCCATTGTCAAAATATGTTCACCCATCGCTTTCAGAAACAACAACAGGCAAGAACTATAATTTCTCCTACATGATGTAATGCCACAAACATTTTTACCTTAAGCTTGGCCTTGCCTTAACTACACCGAGGCTATTACAGGGCCGTGAGCGTTATCCTGATCCAATTGGGATGAGTCCACCAGTGTCATGCATCGTCAGAGTGAGAGCAAGAATCACCAAGTGAGTCAATGCTGGTAAGAAGTCAGTTGAGGGTAAGCCATCACCTGAGGATAAGAGGACTGCCAAGGATCACTTTACCCTGACTTATTTAAATCCACTGTAGACCAAAAGAAAACCTGACTGAGGTACATGTCAGGTCAGACACGAAAGATTAGACGGTTTCTAAAGTTCCTGTAAGTGAGTCAGTCTACTGATCTTTCACATCTAGTGGATGCCTGTATGTTCTAGCAGTACATCAGCAGCAGTTAAAATTCAGGTTTTAAGTGGCTATCATACATATTTTCAGAACTGGCATGGATGGAAAAAAGCACTAAAAAGGCAAAAATTTAGCAGATAAAGTCACAAATATTTTCTTTAGGAGACCAAAATACATCTTAGACTTCTTAAATCTAATTTCAAGAAAAATGTTAAAAGAACATACAGATGAAGCCTTTGATCCGCCCTCTGCTGCTACAAAGTTAGCTCAGTTAGTGAGTTAGTTAGGTTTGTTGCCACTGACACCACTGAAATAGAAGAGAGCACAAAATGTGGGATTAATAACAAGAAAAAGAAAAGCATTGATTTGGTTTAAAACAAAAGGAAAAAAAGATTTTAAAAAGTTTTTTTTAATCTATGTATTTAGTGAAATAAAAAAAGTTGCGTCATCAATTAGCTGTTTGAGTTGTCTTGAGAAGCGTTTGTGCACCTGCACATCTGCAATAGTCAGCTCCACATTTGTGCATTTGTTTTCCTTTCAAGCAAAAGCAAACATCAGTCGTTGTGTTTAAAAATGCAGTCATAGAGATTTTAACCTTCTGTGTCTCTGTCACACAAAAACCTTTCAGAGAGCTCAATCCTGGGTCACTTAAATCCGATCATTTCCTCTCCCCATTAATCTCTGGCTCTTTACTTCCTGCTTCTGCTCTTGACCCCTCTCTTCCCCGGAAGCCATTGAAGATCTTCAGTCATTCGTCTCACACAAGATTTAGACGTTCATACACTGAGAATGGCCCGATGCTGTCCGATTATCTAATTCCACAGCTCAAAAGTAATAAAGGGACACTGTATTAAAGGCTAAGCCGCTCATCTAATCTTCTCTCCATAATCTCCACCCCTCACTGAATGCTGACCTCCGGGTTTCACAGATGGAATGAGCAATGTGAACTCAATGAGCGTTCCCCCCCTGAAATATGTTACTCTGGTCATTTTTCCCCTTTTAAGCTCCAGGCCTGTACCTAAAAAGGAGATTACTCCACCTTTGCTGGCAAACATCGTATTAACATGGTCTGTTTTGATGAGTGAAAGTGCTGACAGCGTGCAAATATGCGTGTGTGTTGTCACAGCCTCCATGTGCTTTTAATCTCCACGGATTTTGCCGGCTAATATCCTGCTTAAAATGGCCCCTGAAATCTGTCATTTGGTGTTGTATAACCATGTTTTTGTAATGCCAACAAGCAAAAAAAAAAAAAGTATCCCTTCTACAGATGTTCATTACATATACACATTTTTTTTAGAATTTAAATAACAATCAATTCTAAATTCTTAGAAATAAAAACTTGTTTTATTTGTTGATGTTGCTTTTCTTTACCTCGATATCAAAGCGGAGATTCTTGTTCTGTTTTTGTATTTTCCATTTTTTGAAGTAACCTTCACATCTTTAGAAAGCATCACACAGTCACCTTAAAGAGGTCACACTAATCGAATCAACTTTACCCTATTAATTAGCGAGTTCAGCCTATCCTCCTAAGGCTCAGAATATATTTAGTATAGGAATAAGTCTGTGTTAGCAAATAGACTAAGCACCAATATTCATCGCATGAATTCAGCACAAACACCTTCAAGGTGCACTGCTTTCTTTATTGTTTCTCTTTAGGTATTTAAATTTTGTGAATAAACTTTGTGATATTATTAACAGTTGTTAATAAAAGCTTTAATACGTGATATTAACTGAAGTTTGAACCTTTGCCTTTGTTCACAATTATAAATGTGGTTAAATGATCAAAATTAAGTTCTTTATATCTTAGTTACAGACTTTAGTGACAGTTTAGGATGACATGACAACTGGCAGGAGAAAAAGGTATAATCATGACGCTAACTTGGCACAAATCCACAACAAGTGAAGGCTGTTAAACAAAGTATCACAGGCTCTGCGTGAGCTCAGGACTGCAGGAAATGTGCAGTAGTCTGTTCCCGTCTTGGTCGAACACACCTCAGCTGCTCCAAGAGAAGGAAATCCATGCATGCAAACTGGCCTTGTGAGTCATACAACTTGTGTATTTCCAGACAGATAGGGTGACTCTAGGGCAGGTTTGGAAAGGTGTTTCAGACATGACAAAAAGGAGCTAAAGAAGCTCAGAAGAAGAAGATTGAGATCCTGTCTCGGATCCTTTGTGTTCTTCAGGCATCACTCTCCTTTGGGATTGGTAGAATGTGAGAAGGGCTGGCCAGACTGATGGAGCCTGGGAAAAATGACGGTATGTAGTGGGAGACAGTCATCATAGGGCTGGGCAGCGGGCTCTCATGCTCGGGCATCATAGGGATGATGATGTCGTCTTGGTCCCACACGTGGAAGGCATTCGGGTGGGAGTGAGTGAGGGCAGGTGGCAAGTGCTGAGGGCTGACTCCCTCCACCTCTACATCTTTCGTTAGCTCCTCTTCAATTGGTCCCAGCAAACAGTCTGTAGATGGATTAAAAAAAGCAGGGATAAGATCAAAATTATTGACCTTTACTGTCCTATAATTTACTTCTGAAACACCCAAAATTCAGTCTGCACAGCAGTAAAAGGCAAAACGAGTAACCTCGGGTTCTTTAAGAAATAAACTAATAAATAAAACGGCGAACTAGTAAACAGCATGTTCATGGTTGCATTGCACATAGACAATGATGTCAGAAAACCTCAGCTGCAACTCCACCAAACCTGAAACTTTGGTAATGACCATAATCATAATGTTTCTGTTCTAGTGATAGTAGTTTGCAGTCTCTTCACTTGTGTTTAGCAGTTCTTTAAAAATAGCGGGTGTGTTTTAAAAAGGATACAGCCTGGTCCCAGTACAGGGATCTCCAAGGTGAAAGGATTTAAGGTTGTTTTTGGACTATTAATACAAACTACTCCAACTACTACATCACATTAGCAAACACCACAGCACATCACTTTATTCCAATTTAAAAAAATAAAATATGGTCTTGTGTATAAAAAATTTCAGATCATTGGAGTGAGCAGCCACCTCTGATAGAATAGATTACCTGTTATATCCAGCATGAGGTCTTTGATGAGATGACCCACAATAGCGTAAGCTACAGCAACCACGACCAGGGCGGCCATCAGAAGGTAGAGGACAGATTTGGGCAGCTGGATGAGATCTCTGGCAGGAGGCTTGTACTCCTTATAGAGAGGCTCCTCATTGTAAACCAAATACTGAAATGATGGCAATCCTTCTTCTGTGTAGTTAAAACTGTCCATATTCCCAGATTAGCAGCCTCCACGTCCAGCACAGAGAAGCAGTTATTCCATTGCATGTATAATTTACCTTCTTGCTGAGACGTCACTCCCAACAGTTTACAGGAAAAGTGTCAAAATCTACATCTGTTATCATTTCAAATCCAGTCAAGGAGTAAATTTACCCACCTGCCAAGACCATGTGTTTGCTGCTTGCAGATTTAACACGTGTGGATCCCTCCAGCTCCAGCTCATATTTCTACCCAGCTTATTCTTTAATTTGCATTATGATGCATGTTGTTATCATCAGTTCATCCTCCAGTAAAGCAAAAAATCAGGATATCAGCCTCTGTGCTGCCTCCTGCGTGCTGCAATCTCTGTTCTGAAATAATCCAGACTATGATCAGCAGCAGAGCAAGAGAGAGAGACAGAGAGAGAAGAAGGGAGGGATTAAGCTCCAAATCACAGCAGCGATCAATCAACTCCTCATCCCATCCCAATCCCAGCCCACAGAATGACAGAGCACCTAATCCACAACTATCTTGTAAGTGCTTACTCAGCTATAACACTCACTTACTATTAAACCCATTCCCACAAATCCACACATATGAAGAGCATCCCAGTGAAAAGCTCAGACAAACCAGCTTCCTAAAGGTGTTTCACTATTACTGCTAGCTTGCATCCTTTCTTCTGAACAAAAAAAAGATACAACATATAAAAAATGAACCTATGTCTTGTGAAAAAGTACATAAAAAAAGAGTTTTCTTTCTACAGCCTTTTAACAGGAAGTTGTCTGAATAATAGCTTCAGACACTATTGGCAATATCTAAACCAGCTTACTGGGGTCATCACCTGGAAAGGTCTAAATTTAAAAAGCTAGGTCTTCTTAAACATTACCTAATGTTTGCCTTCTTTTGAGCTCATGAGCTGCGTTGCTCGTCTTGGTCATGTTGGTGCCATATTATTGGAGCATCAACCAGTCAATCTAATGTAATATGCAAAGAACTGTTGTTTTCAAGAGAGAAATATATATATATGAGAAATATATATAATATCAGTTCAGACTATTGAATTCTCAGTGCACTTAGGTATGTGGACATGATCAATGTGACCTGCTGAAGTTCAGTGGGATGGCTGTACCTCAGGAGGTGGAGCAGGTCATCTGCCCGTCCGAAGTTGGGTGCTCTGATTTTCTTAAGATGATGCAAAAAGGATCTAACATAACCATACTTGATGATACACGCTCATTTACATGATACATGGTTAAAAAACTGTTTGCCTCTGTCCTAACTCATCACACCTGAGCAGCATTGAACCTGGATTAAATGGGAGTGGAAACAGTGGCAAGTAGCGTTACTACTCCCTCTTGTGGTGACAAGTTGCAATAGCACCAAAACCATCAAACGGCTCTAACACCAGGCAGAAGTTTGAAAATCTATTTGAATTTCCTCACATTTCCCCATCTACAGAGTTTATAGATAATGGTCCAAAAAAGGGAGTATCCAGTTCTCTGGCTCTCTTCTTCTCTACCCTGTTGATATCAGAAGAAAAGTGAAAACACATCATCTCTGAATGCACATAAACATAAAACCTTGAAATTTGGGCAACAGAAGACTAGAAAAATATTGCCTGACCTGATGAATCGCGTTTTCTGCTTAGACATTTACTGGTATTAAGGTATGTAAGAAATATGACAAATACGTCCATTTTTAAAGTCGGTTAACTCTCAGTTATCCAGACGTCTCAGTTTCAATAAATATGTGTATCTAAGCTGCTTTTTCTTGTATTAGGATATTCTAAAAATAAAGTATATACATAAATTAAGCCACTTGGACTATTTTTTGTTTGTAGGATCATTTCAGATGGTTGTTGTTTTATTAATTTATGACAGTTAACTAAAACTTAACCAGTAGTTTCATTTAGTTTAACTATAATAACCTTGCTTTTATATCTACAAAATTATGATCTTACGTCGGTGGATTTGGAGTCGAGTGTGGCTTACTGTTGCTTTACTATTCCCAACTTTTCGAGGTATCTGGGAACATCTCCCCGTTTAACCGTTAATTGCAGACACACATGATATATACATTCTGTGGTTTTAACACAATAATGTTCAAGTAAGTAGGGCTGAATAGGTTTTAGTAGAAAAACCGCCGGATTATGACTCTAGCTTTAATCCTAAGTAGGCAGCAGTTAGCCGTTAGCTAGTGTAAAGCATCATTTGTGTAGCAGTTTTCGGCCAAAGGGATGCTGGTTAACCTATTCTGATAGCTAGGTTATAGCCCTTGTTTATTACTGTATATGACCAACTGAATAATGTAATATGTATGTAATATAGTGGGGTTCTTTTTGTACGCAAATATGCCTGTAACTAAGCTAGCTTTACAGACTAGCCTAACTAGCTATATACTTTTGCTAATGACTGTATTTTAACCTTTTTTGTAATGGTGTGATTTTTTCCCCCCCGTGCAGCTCAGATTTAGCTTTGCAGAGTCAAAAGACCCAAATGGATTTTGGCTTTGAGGACCTACCATCAAATTTTCAGTACACTCCCAAGGAAGGGTGTGAAGTCTCACGGATGGTAATGTGTATTCTCTTAATACAAGAATAAAAACAATACTGGCAAATTTAGATAAGGTGACAAGGATTAGGTGCAGTTATGATTAAAAACACTATATGAAAATAAATAATGGTCCACAAGTGTGTCATATCAAGCACCTAGCTGTGAAATCTTTCTTCATTTGTAAAAGGATGGGTCTTTGCTACTGTTGCAACAAGTCAGTTTGTAAAATTCCCTCCCTACTAGACATTCAGTGATCAGCTGTTAAGTGTTATTATTGCAAAGTGGATGCATCTAGGATCAGCCATTTACAAGGTAAAGTTGCAGAATAGGGTATAGGGCATAATTTGTAAAGGTTTTGACTCAGTAAGAGGTTCAAACCTCCTCTGGTTTTAATATAAGCACAAAAACTGTTCACTGGAAGCTTCTTGGTGTAGGTTTCCATGGATGAACAGCTCCTGCAGGTGGAATGTGTAGGTGTCCCAGTGTTTCTGTGGATACAGTGTATTCCAGGAGGGGCCAGTATCACCACACCACTGCTTAAACACCTAAGACTAACACTTTACAGGCGGCTCTTTCCTTCAACAGTGGGATATCTTTTGAACGGTAGTGGTCCATCCCTCAAATTGAGCTCTAAGGAGGAAGGTACTGTAGACTAGTGCCTTAATTAATAAGAGATTTTACTTTGGGTGATTGATGACTATACAGGTTAAACTATAATTTCAGTTCTTCCTGAAATTCAGAGCATCTGCAGCATTAGATCTCCATGATTAATGTTTCTTATACAGCTGATTAAAGTAGAATAATTTCTTTGTTTCATTATGTTTGATGAGGCAGACAGAAGACACAGACTGTGATTCATCAAGGGGGGAATCTTCAAGTGTGAGCGTGACTGAGATTCAAGAGCAACATAGCAGGTAGATCAGTCACCTTTACTCACCCAGCTGTGTAATGTTGGGAACGTTACTTTAAGATCACTTGTATTTTTCCTCAAATAATAAGTGCTTCTGTACTTAAAGGTCTAAGTTACTGTATATTTAATCCAATTGTGAATTAAATGGGTGGAAGAACCATGGACTGCTATATCTTGCAAATAAACAAAGTTTCCAATTTACACTAGTTATGAATTTATTGGTTACATTAAGTTATTAAACTAAAATAATTCCTGCCCAATGTGATGAAAAAGAGTGAGTAAAAGAGAGTGCAGCCCTTAAATTATCAGGAAGACAGGATTTCACTTATGTGCTAAAAGAACCAATCTGTGATGGGGGGTAGAGGACAGATCGTTAGGTAAAGTAAGTGGGGAAAATGTTAATTAAATAGGAATCTTAACTTCAATAAGAAATTGGATTCTAATCGAATCTACATTTGTTGTAGCTCAAGGACAGATGATATCAGCAGAAAGGCGCAGGAATCGGTGGAAAAGATTAACCAAAGCCGCATCAGTAACCAGAAAATGATAGACAGCTTTCAGGAGAAGTTGGTAGAAAAGGTACAAAATTAATTCTATGCATCTAGCTGGAGTTAGTAGCAGATGCTCGGCTTTCATGTCTACAAAGCTTCTGACCATCTCTGATCTGTTCTGATCCTTTCCATCTATCAGGTGACAGAGTTGTGCATGGAGATGAAGGAGCACATGTACAGGGTCTACGAAGAGAACAGTGACAAGATGCAGGTGAATCTGCAGGAGCTGCAGGAGGTGCTGGAGAGCTGCACAAAGTTCAGTCATGAGCTGCTGGAAGCCAACAGAGCCCTGGCATGTCTCCGTGAAGGAGACATGCCAGTGAAGGAGTGAAGGAGACATGCCATGAGATTATAATTTCTATCTGAAGTTAATCGTATTGTGAACTCATTAAGTTATTCAGTATTAGTAAATATATTCAGTGTAATGTTCAGTGTTTTGCTTCCTCTTTCTTTTGGTTGCTTATAGGACAATAGTTCTACTTAACATTGATGGCTTCAGTCCAAGAATAGAAAAGTTGAAAAGTTTTCTCTCTCTTTTGTTTTAACACCAGTTGATTTAGTAAATAAAATGACAACAAACGAGCAAAATATTCTAAATTACTTGTGATTTACCATTTATGTATTGTTATAAACTGTTGTCTTTACAGTGATCCCAGTGTGGGATCCTTTAGATTGAAATCAACCAATGTGACATGAAAACATTTGAGAATTCAAGACACGTTATTTAGGGTCTTCAATTAAAACATCTTCCTGTTTATTTCAATCCATTTATTTACATGCATTGTCATCATAAATATCATATCTCAGTTGGACCGTAAGCTATGTTAGTTTGACCTTTAATATTCGCTTAAACAAGGCAGTAATATATTGCTCCCCCCAGTATGCTATAACTGTGAATATGATGAGGTGTTTGTGATGTATCCCGCCAGGAATTGCTCTTAATATGAGGTAAATTAGTAGCAAATTTTATCACTTCAAGTCAGTTTGAAAAAGATAGTGGACATCATTTAGTTTTCCACAGTGAAAGACTGAAGTCCAGTAATCGCTTTGCCCAGGATCAAGGCATGAATATCATGGGTTCCTATAAAGAAAGTAGCGAAAAGGAAAAAAGGTCATAAGTTGTTTTCATATACAAAAAATATCTCAAAAACAGTCAAATACAGTTTAACAAGTAAACCAAAAACATTCAGTCACTAATCTGTACATTGCTGACATCTAGTGGTGGACATATGTAACTGCTGCTGCGTTTAAAAGCCTTTTCATTACTTTTAATTTTCCCTACCCTCATATGTATTGACAGCCTCCAAGTTCATGACATGACGGATGATGTGGTACTCATCCGAGATGCCGTTTCCTCCCAGCATGTCTCTGGCCTGTCTGGCAATATCCAGTGCCTTGCCACAGCTATTTCTCTTCAGCATGGAGATCATCTCCGGTGCCGCCCTATTAAGATGAGGAAGAAAAAAACAAAAGAAACCCTTCTTTAGTTGTTTTTTTGTTTGTTTTTTGCGGGGGAGGGGCTATAGAACATCAAACAATAAAGCAGGCAGTGACACGTGAAAGACAGCCCTCACTTCTTCTCATCAATAAGCCTTCCCAGATACAGGCATGACTGCAGCCCAATGGTGATCTCTGTTAGCATGTCAGCCATTTTCTTCTGCATCAGCTGGTTTCTGGCCAGTGGCACACCAAATTGGATTCTGTTTGGAGGATACAAAGGTGTGAGCCATGTGCGGGGAAAATGGTAAAATGGATGTCTTCCCTGGATTTGTATGTTTTGCCATATTTTTGCCAATGTCTGCAAACACAGTCGTGTACCTGTCCAGAGTGTACTGTCGAGCAGCGTGAAAGCAGAATTCAGCTGCTCCCAGAGCTCCCCAGGCAATACCATACCGGGCATTGTTCAGACAACCAAAAGGACCCTGTATAAAAAGACAAACAACAAAAAATTTAAGCTACTAATATTCATACAAGCTGTAAAAATTACGTTTGCCAAACTTCATTAGGTAAAACATTAACTTACACCGAGGCCAGAGACATTGGGCAGCAGGTTCTCCTCAGAAACCTCTACTTCATCCATCAGGATCATGCCAGTGGCAGACGCCCTAAGAGAAAATTTGCCCTCAATCTTGGGGGTAGAAAAGCCCTTCATGCCACGCTCCAAGACGAAACCCCGCACTCTCCCATCTTCACACTTCGCCCAGACTACTGCAATGTCTGCCACAGGAGAGTTTGTGATCCTAGGAAAAGATGTGGGAAAATCAGTGTATTTGATTATTTAGATATTTAACTAATTTAGTTTCACAGAGAGCAGCAGGCTTTGTCAGCATGTCTAAATTATTACACACGATTACTTCTATATGATTAGTCATCAAATGGCAGACCTATTGTGTCCTCAGTATGGGGATCCACACAGTTCCAAGTTATATAAACTTATACAGGTCTCCGTGCAAGTTTCAAACCAATGCATCTTGTTCTATATGTGTCTATCTACCAGGTCTTAGCTCCGCTGATGGTGAAGGTACCACTCGATGGGTTGTACTTGGCCTTAGTCTCCATACTGCTGGGATCACTGCCATGATTTGGTTCTGTCAAACCAAAGCAACCTACGATTTCTCCCCGAGCTGCAGAACAAATGAACACACACCAGAAATAAGATGGATTTTAGCCCTTTGCAAATTTTAAATGTCAAATACAAGAGGAGAGAATGTCGCACTTACCAAGCCGGGGCAGGTACTTCTCCTTCTGGGCTGCTGTGCCGTACGCATTAATCGGGTGCATGACCAGTGAAGACTGAACGCTCATTACAGACCGATATCCACTGTCCACCCTCTCAACCTCTCTGGCAATCAAACCATATGCCACATAACTCGTACCTGCACAACCGTACCCTGCAGTGTAAAGGGAAAAAAACAACTTAAAAAACCTACTAAGTGTAATCAGTGAAATATAACAAAAAGAAGGAAAAAAGGAGGGAGGGGGGAGCATTAGTTTTTTTGTTTGTTTTACCTTTAATAGTCGGGCCTAGGACTCCCAAATCTCCCATCTCTGAGACAATCTCACGGTGAAAATCTGTAGCATGGCGCATGTTAGAAAATAAGAAAATGACAAATATTTAGATGAGATTAATTTTACACACCTTAATGTAAAGGCGGATTAAAGACAGAAACAGATGTTTTCTGAATCACTCACAGTGTGCACAGTCTGAACCACACATATTAATCCTGCTTAACTCACGTTCATGTCTGTTGGCCATAAGGACGCGCGGCATGAGTTTTTCCTGGCAGTAGTCCCGAAACGAGTCCCGGATCATGATCTCTTCCTCCGTCAGCTGACCCCCCAGGTCCAGAGCATCCCGCCAGTTGAATGCCACCTTGGCTGAGCGCCAGAACATTAACACACACACATTCACTATGATCACATCACTATAATAGAACATATGAAGAACTCTGAGCAGATTGGATTCAGCTCATTAAGATTCACTTCAAACCGTTACCAGGCTTTGCCGGCTTTTTGGCTTCTTCAGCACCTAAAGGATGTAAATTTAAAGTGTTGTTGATCATCTGAGACAAATATAGAAAACATATTCATGTTTTTCCAGCTCTTATGTGTGCTTTCTTTTTTTTATCACAACTAAAAATTGCATTTCCTACCTCAAGACACCCTATAGACTGTGATTCCAAACTTTACACTACCTTCCTGTGTATCTAAAATATCAGTCGTACCTTTTTGTGCTGCAACCGCTGTGCCCTGAGCTCTGGATGCAGCAACAGCCACGGACATACGGCTGTTGGAGAGCAGATGTGTGAAGGCACTTCTGAGAGCCATTTTACTAAAGGGCACAAAATAAAAATAAATGCATATTAGAGTGTACACCTCACAGTGTTTGAGACGTTATTACGCAATAATACCTGAGTGCAAGTTGTAGCAAAGTTACTTTTGTGTTTGGGTATTGTTATATCATCTTATTATATAAGGGGAAAACTTCGGTGTGTAGTTTTTATTTGGGTTAAACAAATATGTTAAAAAATGTTTAATCAGACATTTCCTTATAATCTGTGTAAAATGCTACACACATTTCTCCTTAAAGCATGCCACATACATCAAGATCAACTTATCCAAACAAAATACTTTACAGTAGCCTACCTTTTTTCCCCTCTCAGGTGGGTAATCAGATTATAAGATGACTTTTCGATGGCGATATGAGCTGTGAAAAGTTGCTTAAGTAATAGAAACGTCACAGGTTTACGTAAAGTGTAAGACGGGAAGACTTTTCCGCCATGATAGATGAGGCAAAACATTGAGCCAGCGCATGACAGTAAAAGTAGTGCAACTCGTGAACGTCACGCAACGGACTTTGAAGAGCCTTTTGCGCTTGTAACAGATTTTTATAAGATAAGTGCGGGAAGTTTGAATATTGGAGGTGTTCGAGGCTGCTCCTACGCTATTTTTTACACAAGTGTGCGAAGTTTCAGCAGGTCTGCGGACTGAATTTGGCACATATTTACGCACTCAAAATGGCGTGTGTGGATGGATGGATGAGTTAGGGGTGTGGAAGGTGTTGGCCCAGCCTTCGAGCTCATTGGCCGGTAAAATGAGCCATGTGCAGAATGTTGACCCTGCACTGAAGCTTTACAAGTGACAAGAAGCACATATGTAGTTTACATTGCAACTTTTAAGTTTGGGTAATATAAAGAAGGAAGGCAAAGAAATGAATCTGTAAAATGTAAATGTGCATATGTAAATGTTTTTGATGTTTTTCCTGCTCACAGAAAAAAATTAAATGAAATCTCAACCTATATATTTACAAATTTTAAAAAGAAAGAAATACCAGTGAGCTTTGTAAAATGTTGCATGTTACAGTTTATTTGTTTGGCATATTGTACTAAAAAGCAATAAAAAAAAAACATCCTCACGCTTTTCTTGAGTAACCTGATAACGTGTCAAACGCTTTAATTATTTATTGTTTGCCTGGCAAACCTTTACATGACACTTTTGTAACCAAAGGCTGGAGCCTATTATGCAATGTGAAGATGCATTACAGTCTGTCCAAACTGTTCGTCTTTCAATCATTAATTAATCTTTCCAAGAATGTGAAAATTGGTTTTGTGTAACACAGCATATCTGTAATGTCAATACCTCCCGCGTGGAGCAAAGAAACAGCAGGCCAGCAGTTTTGCCAGTGATGCCCTTCTCCCTTTACCCTTCTGATGAAAATGTGTCTCCAGGTATGCGTGGGTTTCCTACTCCGCTTTTCTATGAGTTTGAGTCTCCCATGTTATGAGTCAGTAAATGGTAATAATTATCTTACTTATTTCTTAGTAAAACATCATTTCTCAGACTACACGACTGTGCTGGTGGAAGAAGAATCAGCAATGATATAAAATATATAGGTTAAAGAGAATTTTCTCTTCATAGAGCCTCACAGATTCGCACATTTAAGCCACGTTTACTTGTAAACACAGAGACTGAGGAGACTATTGACAAATTGGGATTTTCTGTTGGTGGCAGCCTCCCAGTTGATACTTTTTCTTTTGAAGAGAAGATTGCCAATAAAATTTCATTTTTTATGGGGCAGAAAGTTACATTAATTTGAGGTAAATTTGACAAAAATGTATTTTTCATCACCGTGCTCTTTGTATGCGTCTCCTTTGTGAAGTAGTTTTCTTCGATTCTCAGCAAACCACGTAATGATGTTTAGACAAAATAAATAACTTAAAATAATTACCGTATTAAGCTATAATTGCGAAACAAGAA